TTTTGTCTTTTGTCATAGGGCATATGTGCTTGCCAGAAAGAGACAGAGAGAGAGAAAGTGAGACATTACCCCCCAGGGTGGATAACCACACCACACTTCCTTCTCCATTCTTTTCTTGGGATTTTGGGCACACAATGTGCCCAGCGTCAGGTTTGGGACTCACGTTGCTGTCTATAATGTGGGAGTCCAGTGCCTTAGCCACCATGCCACCTGCTAGCCCCATGGACATTTGTATTTTTTGCTAGTTTTCAATGTTACAGATGGTTTTACAGGTAGCATATTTATAACTTTTTTTTAGTTTAATTTTATTTTCTCAGGATAAATTTCTCAGTGGTCAATTTCTGAAAATCATGTGCTTCTGACATTTCAATGTTCCCCTCTGTTCTTCAAAACCTCCAAACACAAACCTTGATACCTGCATTTTATAAATAGCATAGGAGAACATACACTATGTGAGCCTAAAACCAAAAATTTAATTCTAGTGTGATAGAAAGGATGGTTCCACCTGTGACACATGTAGCAAATAATCCCTCTTTGGAGCGTTCCTAAACCCTTCTGTCAGCCCCTGAAACTGGACCTGCGGTATCAGTTTTTTACCTGCTGCAAGATCAGTTGACAGGATCAACCACCTTTTACACCACGATCTCTTGTCCTCAAGGGAATGACTGAGGCAATACTTTGGAAATGGGATACAGGCCTTCATCCAGGACTCCACTGTAGCAGGCACATAGCATATGATGCTTACGTACAATCAGTGATTTGTTGCTCATGAGGAATTCTGCAATGGAGAAATAAATAAGAAAATAAATGTAATAAGAGTATTTTGGTTGGAAAGTAAGGACTGGATTTGTGTTGGCTTACTGTTAAAGCAGTAGCAACTATTTTGCCTAGCTGATAGTAGATGCTCAATATGATGTAAAAATGTGTTGAGTGAGCAAATGAAACAAAAGGGATGAATTACACCTGAAAGTCATCTATATTTAAGATATCACCAAAACAAAAATTCTTCTGGTGGGGAGGGGGGCACAGTGTGCCACTGTTAACTTGTATTGGTGTCCAAAATACACTTTCAAATTTTCGCTTTTCCCTTATTGCTGTGATTGCTACTGTTCTTGGGCACCATGTAAGAAGCGAAGACCAGGGTGGAATCTCAATTTTCTAACTCATTTCTGAAGTGATCTTACCCAGCACACTGCTCAGCTCTCCTGTCCTATAAGTTATTCTGGTCACCAGTACTATGGTTCACCATTAGATGTAGTATGTCTATTCAGAAAGAGACTGAAGAAGGACAGGACACAACATAGTAAGTGCTCACAGTTGTGGGTGAGAAATGAATGGCAATTTCTCATTAGAATGCGAATCCTATGACTTTCTTATTAATGTTCTTGACTCCAAATGAATGAATCAGGACAGACATAAATGTAATTCCAGGAAGGGGTGAAGAATAAAAATATCAGGTGTGAGGTCAGTTAAGCATTAAAAGTGTGAACTTAAGAATCAGACTTCAGGGACCAGCAGATAATATAATGGTTACATTGCTGAACTCCCACATCGTTGACTGAGATTAGAGTACTGGACCCGGCAACCTAAAACCCATGCTGAAGGGACCAGCAGTTAGCGTAATGGCTATGTTGCTGAACTCCCATGTGGTTGACCACGGTTCGATTCCCGGACCCAGTTGCTTAAACTCACACCAGGAACATGTGTGTGCGTGCCCAAGATCCCGAGAGGAGAATGGAGTGAGAAGGGATTGTGGCATGGCCATATCCCCAGGGGAGGTGATTTCTCGCTTTCTATCTCTCTGTCTTTCTGGTGAGTGTATGCACCCTATAGCAAAAACCTCTCAAAAAAAAAAAAAAAACTCATGCTGGGCACATGTGTGAGTGTGCTCAAAATCCTGAGAGGAAAATAGAGGAGAAGGGATTGTGCCATGGCCATCCCCCCCAGGGAGGGTGATTTCTCACTTTCTGTCTCTCTGTCTCCCTCTATGTATGTCTCCAGCAAGTGCATACACCCTATAGCAAAAAAAAATTTCTCTTAAAAAAAAAAGAAAGAAAGAATCAGACTTCCTGGTGTCCAGTCTAGGATGCATCTTTTTTAGCTGTATGGCTTTAGCCAGTCACTTAACCTATCTGAGTGTCAGTTTGTTCATCTGTAAAGTAAGAATAAAGTAAAAATAAGAGAATCTACCTCCTTAAAACACACACATGTACACACACACATACCTTTGGGACCAGCAGATGGCGTGATGGTTACATTGCTGGCTCCTACATAATTGACTGCAGTTTGAGTCCTGAACCTGGTGGCTTAAAAATCACGCTGCGCATGTGTGTGTGCATGCCCAAACTCCCAAGAGGAAAATGGAGGAGAAGGGATTGTGGCATGGCCATCCCCCCTGGGGGGTGATTTCTCTGCCTCTCTGGTGAGTGCATGTGCCCTATGGCAAAATTCTTTCTTTAAAAAAAGAGAGACTTGCTTTTTGGTTTTCGGCTCGGAAGAAGTTTCAGTGCAACTTTCTTTGGTCATCTGGAATCCGGGTTCATCTGACACCAGCTCCCTCCACCAGGCTGCCCAAGTTCAACACCAATGAGATCAAAGTCATGTACCTGAGGTGCACCGGTGGCAAAGTCGGTGCCACGTCTGCCCTGGCCCCCAAGATCGGCCCCCTAGGTCTGTCTCTACAAAAGGTTGGTGATGACATCGCCAAGGCAACAGGTGACTGGAAGGGCCTGAGGATTATCATGAAATTGACCATTCAGAATAGACAGGCCCAGATCGAAGTGATACCTTCTGCCTCTGTGCTCATCATCAAAGCCCTCGAGGAACTGCCAAGAGACAGAAAGAAGCAGAGGAATATTAAACATAATGGAAACATCACTGTTGATGAGATTGTCAGCATTGCCCTACAGATGAGGTACCGGTCTTTGGCCAGAGAACTCTCTGGAACCATTAAAGAGATCCTGGGGACAACCCAGTCTGTAGTCTGCAATGTCGATGCCTGCCACCCTCATGACATCATCGATGACATTAACAGTGGTGCAGTGGAATGCCTAGCTGGTTAAGAAGTACACAGGAAAACAACTCAACAAAGGATCATGTGACAAACAGAAAAAACAAAGAGAGAGAAAGACTCTACCTCAAAGAATTGTTGTGAGGATTAAATTAGATAATGCATGTAAATCACACTCAATGAATGTAGATGCAATCCTCAACGTTAACAAATGTGATCAGTACAGAACAAAGCAGGAAATATTTCTTTTCTTTTCTTTTCTTTTGGAGAGGTTTTTTTCTGTTTTTGTTTTTGTTTTTGTTTTTGTTTTGCTATAGGACGTGTGCACTCTCCAGACAGACAGAGAGAAACAGAGAGATAGAAAGCGAGAAATCACCCCCTATGGGGGATGGCCACGCCACAACCCCTTCTACTCCATTCTCTTCTTGGAATCTTGGGCACGCATGCACACGCACCTGACGTGAGTTTAAGCCACCAGGTCCAGGACTCGAACTGCGGTTGACTATGTGGGAGTCCAGCGACATAGCCATTACGCTAACTGCTGGTCCCAAGCAGGAAATATTTCTGGTGTAAGAAGTTCCATATCAAGACTTTTTATATTGCAAGTCACAGTAAACCAACTCAAATTGGATTAAACAACAAAGAAGACTTCATGGCCTCTGCCACTGGAATGTTTGGAGATGCTCTGGCTTCAGGAATAGCTTGAATCAGCAGCTCTATGGCATCATGAAAGAAGTGGTTTATTTTGTCCCTTACTCTGCTACTGAGTATCAGCTTCATCTCAAGACTAACTTTCCTTCTGGTGGTGGAATGGCTGCCACCCATAGCCAGGGCTTCACACTTCCACATTCACATCCAATGAGGGGAAAAGGAAGAGTATTCCAAGTAAGAGTGCTGAGATTCACTCTGTTTGGGCATGGATCGTAAGCTCACCCCCTGAAACAATGCCAGGCCCAGACATTGGAGTGTGTCAGGTGGTTTGAGTAAAACAAGGCCCACTGAAGTTGCAAGGGATCCATTTCTCCCTAAGGACATAAAATGCTCAGGGAGGAAGGATACTGGAAGCTAAGTCTGGGCTACTAGGAAGGGACATGGATGTTAGCCAGGGAGTCAATCAATAGTGGGCATTTAATAAGTTATTATATATGTAATGATGAAGGAATAAGTAAAAAATGTCCCCCCCAGGGCGAGGGGATGAACTTAGCCCAGGATAAACGTAGTTGCAATAGTGAGATGCTTGGGGTATGGCAGTAACTGGTGGTGGATGTCCTTCATTTCCCAGACTCAAAGGCAAATCTATTAATAAAAATTCCTTTCTGGCAGCCATCTCCTGGTGCAGGTTCAAGGAAATGTGTATTCAAAGGAAGAGAAAGGAAATTTTATCCACAAAGCTGCAGTCACAAAGTTGTGCAAGGTCACCCAGATGAATGTGATTCCTTAGGAACTAGAGCAAGAATGTATACAGAGAGAAGATGCTGAGCTTTCCAACATCAGAGGCTGGCAGAGAAGGAGGAGCCGGCAGAGGAAGCAGAATTAGCATGGTCAGAGACATAGGAGAACTACAAAAGAGGAGCACCTTCGAAGTCAACGAGAGCAAACGTTCTCTGCTCTCCACAAAGGGCCAAACAGGTGAGACCAATGTGGGGAGCCTTGAATGAACTTCCCACAGACTCCATAAAATGTCCCCCAAGAAAGTGAGGTACCCCCACCCATCCTGGCTACAAAATAACCCACCAGGTTCTGATGACTGCTCTGAGCCTGCCAGTCACTAGGACAGCTCTTTTCAGAGCCCACTAGAGATGCCACATCATTAGCTAAGTGTCTGCAGAATCATTTAGAAATGCCATGGAAGCCCTTCTACCTGCTGAGGGCAATCTCTGACACTGCAGTATCAGAAATGGTTCTAAACATCAGCTTGAAGCAATGGAACCAGAAGGAGAGGTGTCCAGAATACACAGGATTTGCCATTCATTACACACACAGGCACTGTGAGGCTGTGTGTTACACCAGTTGGTGTGAATCATCCCGAGGATCCACCCAATGATGCCCCCAAGAGGGAGGGAGTGCGCACAGTAGATGGCGGTCACACACCCCCAAAACGAGCTGCACAAGATGCGCCAAATTGCAACTTCCTGTTTCCCATAATGACTCACGTTTCTACCCTCCCCCCCACCCCATCCACCACTCAAACTCTTACTTCTTTTAGGTGTGAAAAACCCTCTTATCTTGGGACCAGCAGTTAGCGTAATGGCTATGTCGCTGGACTCCCACATAGTTGACCGCGGTTCGTGTCCCAGACCCGGTGGCTTAAAACTCACACCGGGTGCGTGTGCGTGTGTGCCCAAGATCCCAAGAGGAGTACGGAGGAGAAGGGATTGCAGCGTGGCCATCCCCCCTGGGGGGTGATTTCTCGCTTTCTGTCTCTGTCTGTCTGGCGAGCACACATGCCCTATAGCAAAAAATAAACCTCTCAAAAAAAAAAAAATCTTCTAATCTTGTACCAGCAGTCCTACTCTCTATGGATTATGGTGTAAGCCATAGCTTTTACATTTTTTTCCCTTCACGAATTCCCACTTTTGACACTGAAATATAGTTTGGCTTTCAGTTCTTGGTCTTTTCAACAGATACATCAAAGTCTACTTAGTAGATTTTAGGAGATAGAAAGAAATGTGGCCAAATCTCCCTCCAAATGCCACACATTCCAATACCTATATAAAGTAGCTTGAACACTGGTGGAAGAGTAAGAGACATAAAGAATGGGAAGGCCAACTTCAAAATGTTGTCCACTACCTTTGTTTATATCCCCGTCTTTTTTTTCTTTTCATGATAACATATACATGGGGTGGGGAAGAGAATCAATAGGACCTTATCAGGCCACGATCCCCTTTTCCTATATCTCCAGCTCCTCTGGATCTTGGAGGCCCACATGTACCCATGGCATATTTTCAAGCCAACAGGGGAATCTGAACCTGTAGTCAGCTAAGTGGCTTCCAGCACAGCAGTCCAAAGCACTATGCACTAGGCTGTCTAGCCGACCCTGCATCACCCTGTTTTGTTGCAGACAGGACTGGAGATGACTTATATTGACATACAAGTGACCAGTAGTTGGCGCAATGGCTATGTTGCTGAATTCCCATGCAGTCGACCATGGTTTGAGTCTCAGACTTGGTGGCTTAAACTCATGCCAGTCCTGTGTATGTATGTGCCCAAGATCCTGAGAGGAGAATGGAGGAGAAGGGGTTACAGCATGGCCATCCTCCCTGGGAAGTGATTTCTCGCTTTCTGTCTCTCTGTCTCTTTCTTTCTGGCAAGCCCACATGCCCTATAGCAAAAACCTCTCCAAAAAAAAAAAATTATATTGACATACAAAACAAGACAAAATAACTTTAAAATGAGTAGTGAGGGGAACAAGATTAGGGGGAATTGAACATAGGAAAGACAAGATAGAACCAGGTGTATCACTGGGCTGGTCTTACTTCTGTGGTGGAATGTGCCAATATCCACATTCACAGACCAGCACTGGACTGTGATGCAAGCAAAATGAAACTTGACTGCAGTTGCCCTTGAGATGGGAGGTTGCTTGTTACAACAGCTAGCACTAATGGTGCTGACTAATGCACTATCCAAGTTGTTGGTGGAAGTTATATCATGGCCCAGTGCCAGCCATCAAGCCTGTTCTCAAAATTCTGTCACATCATTAGTTAACTTCAGCTTTCAGTTGTGCAGATGGCAAATGATCTGGACTGACTTCCATCCCCCTGCAGGCTGTCACCCGAGGTCTTAATGGTACAGTGCAGACACACTCAGAGACTTCAGGTAGAAGCACATGATTGCAAGTATGAATCCCCAGTTTGGACTCTGTCTCATCAGTCCAGAGTGGCTGGATGTGTCAGGGTAGACTTGGCAGGGAGAGAGTGAGATGCCAGCCAATTTTAAACCAATGTCTGGGTTTTCCCAATCACTCTGTCTGCTTTCATTCATGCTCCCTGGCCATGACCTCTTACTCAGGCCCTTAACACATCCTGAGTAAAGAACCTTTTAGCCACATTTTGCTATGGTAGTTAGGGTTACCTATACTATAGACCTATACCATAGACTAGAAGTCTTAACACAAATTTATTTTCTCACAGTTCTGGAGGCCAAGACATCAGGGAGATTGGTTTCTCCTGAGGTCTCTCTCTCCTTGGCTCACAGCTGCCTTCTCACTGTGTCTTCACATAGTCTACCTTCTGTCCACATCTGTATCCAGATTTCCTCTTTTTTTTTAGAGAGAGAGGTTTTTGCTCGCCAGACAGACAGAGAGAGAGAGACAGAAAGCGAGAAATCACCCCCCAGGGGGAATGGCCACACCACAATCCCTTCTCCTCCATTCTCCTCTCGGGATCTTGGGCATGCACGCACATGCGCCCGGCGTGAGTTTTAAGCCACCAGGTCTGGGATGCGAACTGCGGTCGACTATGTGGGAGTCTAGCGACATAGTCATTACGCTAACTGCTGGTCCCAGATTTCCTCTTCTTATAAGGACAACAGTCAGATTTGATTTGGCCTCGCCCTAATGACCTCATTTTTTTAAAATTTATTTTATTTATTTGCATTCATTCACTGTACATCATTACAGATAATGACCTCATTTTAACTCAATTACCTGTCCAAAGATCCTGTCTCTAAATACAATCTTATTCTGGGAGAGAGAATTTGGGCTTCAACATATGAATGTGAACTGGAGACAGCCCATAACAAGAAGCGTTTATTCTGTAGAATTCATGCTCATATTTCTAGATTATTTAAGGGACAAAAAAGCCTCTTCTTATGGAGGAGTTAGATCAACTACAAGATATTTTAATAGGGCACCATGGTTGGGCTAGATGTTCCCAGGGTTTACTGGGGAAAAAAATGTTCGGAGGAAATCCACATGTGATCTTGGGGTTGGTATGGAGTTTCTAGAGTCAATATCAAAAACACAATCTCAAAAGAAAAAAATGGATAAATTTCATCTTATTTTTAAATTTTGCTCTGTGAACGACTGTTCAGGGAATGAAACAATAGGACTAG